CGGTAGACGCCAGAAGTTACGCTTTTCTTATCGTTACACCGTTCAAGACAGGTTATCGGGGTAGAAGTAGAGGTAGAGGTCTGTAGCCCAGCTTGAACTTCCCCCACCTCATTCTCTGTCCATGTTTGTGTTTTTGCTTTTAGCGCAACGGCCATATAGTTGTGAACAGAAATGGCCAAGAGTACATGTATCCCAACATTGTCAACGATGGCGCCTACCATGTCGTCAGCATAGAACGCAAAGGGGATCGAATGTTAGTAACCTTCGACAACGATCAGATTGTCAATCTCCCCATGACAGGCAAGCATGTGATATCCAACTAAACCAGTCCGCCTTGTTATTGTGTCCACGAAGGAGTTGATTGGTTGACAGGACCTAGCAAGTGTGGTAGTTTATGAATCAAAGAATTCAACGCTTACGTTCTTTTTGTCTCACTGAGTAAGCATAGTTCACCAATGTTTGCTTGAATCTCTATCTACCGACTAGCTCCTTCTTTACTCCGTGGAGGAAACGCGTTTTTTTCCTCCGCTTCCGTGTAGTTACGTCCCAACGGTCTGTGAGTAGCATGACCTCCGTATTAAGACATTAAATTCTGCTTCTTTGTTTCGGACAAAGGCTAGTGAAAATGGTGTCAGTGGCTAGGGTTCAATCAGGATGTGATTTTTGTGGAACAAATTAAACTCGAATGCTTAGAAACGTCCAAATGCAGACTCCAAAACCGACATGAGGTTGGTTAATTTGACACGCCATAAAAACAGCGCTAACTACTCCAAAGGATTACAGGACTAGGATTGTATACCAGAACGAACACTCCCAGTGATCACAAGTTCTGTAAACTGAGAAACTTCATTGGAACAGAACACCTAAGGCATGAAGCGTGTCTATTGGAAACTAACGTTGCAACCTCCTCCCTCTCGCCGTGCTTCCAGGCATCACTGAAAGGAGCGATCAGAGCATCACCTACACCACTCTTTACGTCGGCGCGAATAAGGACAAAGGGGACATCTTCCACGGTGCTATCGGTGGTAAGTTTCGGTAGTCATCTAGCGTCTCATTTTGCACTGTGTTGGAGGCCCTCATAGCCTTTCCTCGCATAACGCCTTGAATCACATTAGGCTCTCCTGACGGCCATTTAGCAGCATTTGATGTGGAACTTTCCTCCCGACAGGTCTCTACTGGAACGGTCGCTATCCTATAGATGAGGCGAAGGGTGGACTGCAAATCACAACCGGTGATGTGATTCACGTGCTCTTGCCGAGTTTCATACTGCCCGGCAAGAAGCCCGTTCCTACCTGTCCTGTGGACTATTGTTTCAACGGCGGTATCTGTTATGTGGAGGACTACGAGTTAAAGTGCGATTGTAGATTGACTGGCTGGCAGGGCTCCAGATGCGAAAAACGTGAGTTGATTGTACAGTTGGGCACTTGGACGCCTCCCGCCTTGCAAAGAGAGCGGGGCTGTGGGTGAGGTCAGAGTTAAGGGGCTCGTTAGGAGTGCCCTGTGGTCACCTTTTAGGACAATCCTGGGTTTAACCAGACGAATCATTCGTTCTGTTGATGACGATGTGAATTTATATTCATTCCCACTCAAACACAATTGCATTCACTCGTCTTAATCTCCATGGAGGGTCAACATAAGGTTTCGACACCGGAGACCCCTCGGAAGCACTACCAAACCAGCGAACCTCTTTTCCACATAGTCTAACTAGGCGACCAAATCTCCTGATGGGATGGGTGGAACTGTTACACCAAATAAGAGGCTTTTTAGTGGACTTGTTGTATTGGAGTTGAACAGGACTTGTTGACCTCTGCGGACGAAACCGCCTTTTCATGGGTCTTGCCAGCGGCCTTTGCAGTCGTTGCATAAAGCGATGTTGTAAGTAGGAGGGTAAAAATGCAAAGTCCTATCCTGCCCAATGGCCACATGCTGTGTGACAAAGGGATCGTCTTGAGAGTTAGAGTGTTGCCTTTCCTTCTCCAGCCACACGTGGTGTTCTCCCCTCGACTAGCGGCAATGGCGCCTACGTCATCATCAATGTGGTACCACCGAAACCCACAAATGTGGATCGTATGCGTGTGGCCTTCCAGACCTACGCCACTGATGGACCCATCGCTCGTTTCATGACGCCTGATGGACGTTTCTATGAAATTTACATGGTGAGCCCTGCTTCCCCCTCCTTCATCGACGCCTGTGTTAATCTTTTTGTCCGTCTTTTGCGCCGTATTCTGTATACTTTTTCACATCGCATTGAGGTAAACACATGCATAGAATAAGTGGAACTTAAGTATGGCAGAATGGCAACCTCAAACAAAACTCACCGCGTCTGACTGACATGAAAAGGGATAGAGATTTCAAGTGACATGGTCAGCGAGTGCTGTTACTGACAGGTGAATAAAAAGGGTGTGATTTTACCCGTTGACTAGTCGTCAAGAGCCTATCCAAGCCTTTACCTCTTTGGTCGGCAGTGTTTCATGTTTTTTTTGGTGTCACTCATGCATTTGCGGTTCTTGCTAGGCAAAATCTAATTGCCATGGCAAATATAGGGAGCACGACACGGTCCACTAATGCGAGGTTGTCATTCTCGCAGCACTGGGGCAGGGGAGTTTGCTAGCGCTTCGCACTGGTTGGCAAGGTGCACATAGGCTAAGGCACCGACTGTGAGTTGCGCACATGGCACACTTCGTGTGAGGACGCTGATGCCGATGACGTGGCTTGTGAGCGACTCTGCGGTCGTGCATACAAAATTAGGCGTCTGTGTGTAATGAACAGCAGGTAGGACTGAGTGACACTGTCAATGCGATTCATGCATTAGTAAATTGGGGTTGGTAAGTCAGTTTCTGCGCCACACTTTTGCCTGTCCTCTGCCCACACCTTCGCCTTGCTCTCCTTCTCCTTCTCCTCCTCCCCCTCCCCCCCCTTTAACTCCTTCGCTTCTTCGCCTCCGCTTACATTGTCATTTTAGGTATGCGCATTGTCTGGTGTCATAACTTTTCGCCTACTGGCGTTCACTGTCTGATCAATGTTGTTACTTTGTGCAACACAGGCGCGAGCACCTCCTCGTACACCGATTTGTTTGTTCATCCACCTACTAATTCTGGTCTCGTTATACGCAATTTTTGCATCAGTCAGACAAAGGAGAACATTCTTGGTCTGATGGTGATGATGATGATGCAAAGAGTTTTAAACCGAACGGTCCACAGTGCGAGGGCGTGGACTGAGGCATGGAGGAATTACTTCTCCACACTGAATGCTCAATTTTCGATTTGTGCTTTTAAATGCTACCAAAATCCAATCCACTCGATGTGGTGAAGTGCGGTAATAAGAGTGAAAAAGGAGCACTCAGACACCCATCGTCAACCTCCACGAGGCGTTGCGGCTTTGTTCTGAAGTGCTCACCTTCTGGCACGTACCACAACTTCCCTCCAATTTGTTGTGACACGTTTACTATTGCGGTTTTTGATTAAGCCATCATTTTGGTGCTTTTTTTTTTTGGTTTTGCTGGCGCACCCCGAAATGCCATGGTCTAACGCTCTTTATTCACCTACAGAAGGGACAACAAGTGTTTGTGTCGAACAGCAAGGACGAGATTCGTTTGATCAGCGCGCCCTATCAACAGTGCGATGATGGCAAGATGCACGTGATCACCTTGGTCCGCAACGGAAGTCGATTTGACTGGTCTGTTGACGGTCATCGTACCATCTACATTGATAAATGTAGGTCCCCTTTCTCACCCCTCTTCACATTTGCACCCTCTCCACACCGTGCTACTAATAAAAGAAAGTCGAAAAAGGACAATTTGCGATTATAATTTTCCGTCTGTGTGCAAATTAGTGGTTGATTGAAGGTCGCACTGCACCACTTAGCCAATCAGGCGGGTGGTGCGTGCAGACCCGCACGTTTGCATACGCCTTGAAGGCAGTGGTCACCTGTAGCCACAACACTCCTCCACTTGTGCTACACGCGCTCCACTGCTCCGATCCCAAGCGGCAGTTTTTCTGTTTTGTCTTTCCTCTTCAAACCCTTGTGACTGTTATGTGAGTCGTCGATTGTTCAGTGTTATTTTTTGCCTCTCCTTAAACATGCTTTCTACTTGTGCCACTCACCGTTAAACTGCTTTTTAGGCGACTTTGATTCTTTCATGTAACTCAAACCTCTTTTCCATGTGCCACGAAGGTGGGGAGGGCTTTTGGAATGGTGCTGCAGCGGTGTTAGGCACGTGCTAGTTCTCTGTGCCCACCCAGGCGAATGTGGGGAGCGGAGAAATGACTGGGTGCTACTTTTCGCGGGTTCATCTAATCTTCACCTTGGAGGTGTGCCTCCCATTGCGGACAGTTTCGAGTCACCTCGGCCAATGTTGACACGCTATTGGCATTCCGGTCACCACTTTTAGGCCCACTATTTAGCATTGTCAGGATCTATTTGATTATGCAATGCAAGGCTTGCAGCTTTTATGTTTTGTATTTTAGCAAAAGTAGTACATAGAAAATCGTTTTACAAATCGACCTTGGAGAGTCCCAAATTTCTAACACAATCTCTCCTTATTGAGCAGTAAAGTCGTACCTTTAATGGCTTGAAACCCGTGAAGTTGATCCTGTTTCAGCCTTCCTTTTGGCTTCTATTAAATGAGACGGCCATTAGCTGTCCACGATTGAAAGGTCAACAGGCAGAAGGCGCCGAAGTTGTTCACTAAAGAGGTCACTTGGGAGAACAAGTGAAGGTTTGGGATTCCACTTCTGGTGCGTTAAAATTGTCGAGGCAAGGCAGGCAAACCGTTTACTTCCGCTCCCCCAAAGTTCTTAGCTCGATAAAGCTCAACATTTTTACCTCTTACTGAAGGACTTCCCACCCTTCAGTCTCAATATTCTCACCGTGCGTCGCATCACGTGCCACCGTTTTTGCTTTCTTTAGCAGTTTTTTGTGCTTGCAGGGAGTCTGACTGTGGTGGACAGAATTCTCACACCTTCTTTTCTCTTTCCTTCCACCCTCCAGCTCTTGTCGACTCAAACGGTGCACTGGTCACGAATGAGATAATCCTCGGTGCTGATCGCAAGTTCACAAATTCATTCAACGGCGTGCTGGGAGGTGAGATCTCGCATTGTTCCACACAATAAGGACATTCACAACTGCTCATCACACACACACACACACGCTATCGTTGGCTTGAGTGGAGCTTTTAGGTCACTTCAAACGAAAACACAGGCGTCTTGGTGGTTTTTGCAAAGCGCAATAAACTAACTTTATGCCTTATAAAGTAGGCAAGGTCATAACTAAACCAGTTAGTGCCGAGGGTTGCTTGTGTTTTTTGCCTGACACGAGTAATGCAGCAATTTGATTGATGATGTGGTGCCATTTGCTGGAGCCGCCTCACTTCCCAATCACCTCCACGGATGCGTGGAGGCAGAGCCAGGCGTTTACCTCCTTACTGCTTTTGTCAGCACCGTTGGAATGTGCTCCTCCGTTTTCCCTCTGCTGTGGCTCAATGACAGGAGTAATTGGAATGGAAAAATGACTAATTGCGAGGCCTCCCTATCGCCTATTTAAACTGTCCAAGTGGCTGTTTCACTTGACAACTTAACACCGAATCAAATC